TTAGTACAGGATACAGCAATTGCCAGTACAGTCACATGATAAACAGAATATATGAATACTGATTTTATTTAGTCTTCCTTCAAAGCAATGTAATCCATTAAAAATAATAATGAAATCAGAAGCCCTCTGCTTAAAGAAGTACCTCAGACAAAATGGTTCATCTACACTGTCTGTGTACATTGCTTATTGTTTGAATAGAGAAAAAGCAGGATAAATTGCAATGTGCTTGTGAAGGTTCTGTTTTTTTTTAACCAATACTGTTCTGTCAGTATAAATTCATCCAGACAGAGAACTCTTCATTAAAAGTATAATTTATTTTGGTTGCTTTTCACTACACTGAAGTGACATCTTTCCCAACCACTGTCAAAGGCAATTAAGAACGCAGTGCTTTTTGAGCATAAGTTTCAATCCTGATTCCCTTTGACCTGCCTAAACAAAGTTTCCTTGTAAAAACTTGAGAAATCCTCAGTGCAAGAGGGAAAGCCAAACAGTGAGGAAAAAAATAATTATTAAGATATACATATATCATCATTGCATAATTATCTGGAAAAAAATTTTACGCTTCTGATAAAAGCACTGAACTTACAAATCAGTGAGATGCACTACGGAACAAAATAAAACACTGGACATCTTTGAAAAAGTGAAGCTGTTGTGTGCTGTTTCTGTTGTGTCATGAGGTGTACTTGTGCCTCTTTTTCACCTGAGGTTTGCTAAGGTGGTGTAGAGCTTCTCTGACAAGCACAGCACTGGGGACAATATAGGGGAGAAAGCAGAAAGGCAGCAGCACTTTGCTCTGTTACACTTAATGAGATTTTTGGGGTATTTCTCCTCATTTCTGCTTGTTCATATGGAAAAAAAGCATATACAAGCAGAAAGTGCTGAAACACAGTGTGCCTTTGAATCATGGCTTTCTTTTAAAGAAGATATATACAAGTCCTCTAAAATTCATAAGTGATGTCAACTGTTGAAACAGTGCTTTTTACCTCACAAAGATGGATCCCATACCCTCAGGGTGCTTAGCTCCACGCCATTCCCTCTCACTCACTAGAATAACTGGTAAGGCCTCCACGACTGCATCAATGCAGAGGACTTGGCCAATGACCATGATATGGTTCTTATGTCACAGCATTCAAATGGTTTCTTTCTAGCAGTATATGCTAAAGGAAAAAGTGCACTCCCCTCCCCACTACAGACATGACAGGAGGCATGAGTGCCTTTCCCAGGAGCACTGGGAAAGCAGAGGTGACCTGAAGGGCTCAGCTGCTGCCCTCAGATGCCAAGGCCTCAGCCCAGCCTTCACGATTAGAAGCAGCAGAAGTGCACACAGAGGCAATTCCACATCAGCAGCCCAGAGGGTGACTGTTGCACACAATATGCCAACCTTTACAGCACAGAGCAGTTCCAAAGTTATCACCAGTTCTCCCACTTTTTAGAAGGGAAAACATCCATCTTTTATTAGTCAACAAACCTGTTGCAGGGGGAGGAATTTCTCATCCTCACACCACCAGCCTTATTTCCTAGTGCATCTTTCCTTATTGTTTCTTCTTCCTACCCAAACCCCTTTCCAGCTATTCAATTCACTTTTTTTTTTTTTTTTTCTTACTGCTGTTGACAACATTTGTGTGTTGCTTCCCTACTGCCCCCACAGATATGCAGAGATAGCAACAGGAGTCAGACAGTATGGCACCGGTGGCAGCCAGCCATGGCACATTTTACCCAAACAGAACACAAATCTTATTCTAGTAAGAAAAATGATGCTACGGTTCCACACCATGATAATATCATTAAATAATCAGTCACACTAAAGATTGGCTGCAAAATGTTTGATAGAGGACAGGAGGAAGGGGCAAGGAAGGCCTGGTGCCATGCAGAACCCAGGCTCTTCCTCCACTCCTGACCTATGCAGGCTGCTTGTTACTACACAAGTTCAGGGGTGGAATCTGGGGAAAACCAAATCTTACTGAGACCTAGTTTAAGGAAAAACTCTGTGATAACCTGTGTGCAATCTCATACAATTACCCAACTCACACTGATACACAATGTCCACTACTCATACACCAAAGTGGCACACACAACACCCAGCCACACTGCTGTGACCATTTTTCTCAGTGGCACAGCAGCAAGAAGCAGCTCTTGCCTCTGGCCACTTTTTATCGACTCCCTCACATTGCCCTCTCCCCTACTCCTCCCTTATTACGGCTTTGTGCAGGGAATTTAGTTGGTGAAGCTAAAAATGCTCCATTCAGCCTCTCTTCCTCCCCACTTTTGCAGGACTGTATTTAAAACAGATCTGTTCGCTGCCTTTGTTCCAGAAGCAGTTCAGCTCATCTGGAAGGAGGAAGGCAGGAGAAGGAAGGTACATCTCTTCCAGCTCAGGGGTGCAGGAGATAGCACAGGGTCTACTTCAGCACACTTTGCCTCTGAGACTTGACATACCCATAATATTACAGGCTACGATAGAGCTTTTCACAATCCATTCCAGCTTGAGCTGTGTTTGCAAAGTCTCAAAAGGAGCCTGCGCTATTCCTACAATTAGAAAGAACAGGTTTGCATAATCTTAACCCTCACATCCCAGGAACCACAACTAATTCACTGCTTTTCTAATTTGACTTGGGGATTCTACAGTGCAGCAGCAGGACTTAAGAAATGGCTCTTCACTGTAACCTCATTTGAGTGATCATCTTTTGTTTGCATTACTCCAGTTTGCAAGCTGACAGCTATCAAGTCAGATTACAGAATGCCACTCACAGTGACACATGCCAAAAGTAAACCATTAAGACTATCTAAATAGCAGAGTTAGGCTTAATATTTTAGTTGCCAGGAATTATGCTACGGAAAAAATAAATGCAGCAATTAGTTTAAAAAAAAAAAAAAAAAAGGCACCAGGTATCTTAACATATTCCTGTAGAAATCAGTTATTATTTAATAGGAAATTAATAAAGGGAATTATTAAAATGGTCACACAAAAATTTCTGAAATCCTAAAAATCCCACATCTAAATTGCAAGGCATTTAAGCTGATAATAAAAATTAAAAAAAAGGAAAAAAAAGAATTAGAAAGAAAAAAATCCTCCTAAAAACCCTGTTCTTTCTGTGTGTTTATGAAGGCTCCGGAAATACCATGGCAAACATTCCAGCTCTACAGCAGTGCACCACGTGACCCCACAGCACAGCAAGGAACTTCGATCCCAAGTATCTTCATGGAATAAAACAGTGAGTTTTATTTTTACTTTTTAAACCTTCAAGTGCAGGGAAATCTTCAGTAGATTTTCAAGCACCCTGTTCAAAAAGTATGGGTTTTTTTTCTTTCCTTTTTTTTTTTAAAAATCTTTTAATGATTTGCTGCATTTCTATGACTGCGTGTGTTATTTTTATAGTAAAAGATCAAAGATTTAAACTTATATTCACCAGGTACAAAATGCACTACACTCCTTAAGGAACCACTAAAAACATTTGCAATGTCATCTAAATCTTGCGTTACAATCAGTGCTCCTGTATTTCTCAATACAGCCAAGATATTTGCCTATTGAAAAATACAGCACAGTTAAAAACTCTCCCCCTTCTAATCTTCCATTACGATTTTAGTTAGAGCTATTGATGAAAGGATTTATGCATATGAGCTGTACTGAATGTTACCAAAAAATACTTAAAATGTGAGCCTGAATAAAAACCTTCCATTTTTACAATAATTCAAGTACTTGGAAGTACCCATTTAAGATGTAGGAGTAAGGATGAATCATAATGTAATAGTTGGGTATCAGCTGAAATTTGTGTTTTGTCTTAAAACAAAATAGAACAAAGCAGTGCTGTACAAAAACGAAAACAATTCTGCAGCACAAAAGCACAGCAAATGGCAAGCACACACCACTAACTTGCTTTAGTAGCCATGTCAGAAACGCTCCTAATTATCAGAGGAAAAAGAGAGATGGCATTTCTGCTGGAAGCAAGTTTTACACTTTATTCTTCCTCTCCCCTCTCTTTCAGCCTATAAATATTAGTCTTACACATTTTTCTCCCATGCAGCTCTTGAAAAGGTTGAGTTTTTCAAGGCTGAGAGCAGATAGAAATGTTCATCAAGAAATGCCTTCGGGTCAACTGTCTGTAGCTCATCAAAGCGCAGTGCTGAAAATATGGATGAAGGGGAGGAGGATTATAAGAGCATGGTACAGCAGATTAAAAAAAATATCTATGCTCTGATGATCATTAGCTTTATCCTTTTGGAAACGGATTCAGTTATCATCCAGGCACCCTTGGTGGTGGTGGTGGTCACAAGGGTACTGACTCCTCCCCTCCATTTCAGCTGCTTTCAAAACAACCACAAATATGTGAAAGTTACTTTAATGGCATTTACCAACACAAGGAAATGCCACAGGGATGTGATTAAGAGTGAAAGTGGAGATGAGCCACATGACAGTGAAAGGAAAGGCAGCTGGTCCCCAAAACAATTAATACATGGACCAAGTACTTGAGAAACCCTGATCCATACTGGAAATAAAGCAAAGATAAGACTCCTGGCTTACAAAATACTTAAAAATATCTTAAAAATAATAAAAAAAATTATGGAGCATTCACTACCTGCTTTTTTGCTCTGTGCAACAGCTGGACATAAGATATTGAACACACTATTGAAAATACTGTTCGTTTCTACTCAGGGACTTCTCTGTTTATTATAAATGCACATTTATTGGCAGCAAGTAGAACGTATTATTGCTGTGTTTTATAGCTCGAATGGCTCATGCAAAGAGTAATTTGTTTGTATTCAGTATCACGATCAATAGCTGTACCAGGGATAGCCCAAGGAATGTTTATGCTGAGGGCTTTGCTTGCAGTGTTTCACTGTTGCGATCAATTGACCAAACAGGACTGATTCTTAAAAAAACAAATAAACTTTGATAGCAACCAGATCAGCCATTAAGACATAAGAAATGATGCATCATATGGAAAATGGCCAAAGACCCACAGGTACTTTCAACCATCTGCTGGTCCATAAAGCCTTCCTACCTGAATATTTCCCACCGGCCTTTCTTCCTCTCGGTATCTGGGGCCGGTTTCCTCAGTGCCCTCACATAACAAGATCCATTTTCCTGCAATACAAGCACAGACACATCATATTTCCATTCTCCTGAGTGACATGGTAACATGTGAAAAAGCTCACTGAGCGGACCTCAGACAAATGGAGAGCATTTGGGAGGCCCAGTAACAACCCCAGGGCACCAGAGCTGAGACTCAGCCCAGATTTCCAGCTACCCCAAACTCTGCAAGTTCACTCCATCATTTCAAGTCTTACAGGCTTCACGGTCCATAAAAATGAGAGAAGGAAGAGGTAGTAAAATTCTACCATGCCAAATGGCCATCTTTTTCACCCAAAGATCATGCTGAAGCATCTTTATTCTCTTCATACAGGAACTCGCTGTCTGAGTTAAGTGCCATTTAAAAAAATAAACACCCCCAAACTCTGCTTAAGCGGATATGCCAAAATACCACAAAAACACCATCCTGTCTATAGAAAAACAAAGCGAGTTTATGGATTACACTGGCACAGCACTACGACTTCTAGGAAATGCTTTTTAATTATAAAGAAATACTGTAAAGGAAGACAGCAGAATGTTTACGGGCACTGCGTATTTTGTTACATGCTGTTTCAGCAGTCAGACAAGGTGTCTTTCCAGGCGTATGCTGCTAAGACTCTGAAACTCAGCACATATTGAAGAAAGGAACAGAATGAGAACATTTTGCTTCTCTTTTGACGAAATTCCAAGCAACTTCTATGCAAAATAATATTTCATCCAAGAGGAAGAAGCAAGGCTGATGGAAGAAAATAATGTGCATCTTGTGGTCAGTCTAGAACCCCAAAATGACCAGCTGTGGAAGCAGCCACCTTGTTAGCACCTGATGTGATGCAAAAGCCACACTTGAGCCCCACAAAAAAAGAAGAAAACCTTCAAGTTTTTCAAGCAACTTGTTACATGCATTTAGTGTTTGTTACACAATCTTATTTACTCTTCTCACTGATATCATACAAAGAATAAAAGCATCTGAATAACATGCTTTAAACAACCATTCCATCCCTGGTATATACAGAGCTGCCAAGAGACAATTTGCTTCAGCTGGGAACTTTGCTGTTCTTCTTGTCCCACAGCAAACGGCAATTTTAGGGAAGTTACATATTGACAGACACCCTGAGTGAATGATTGGCTTTTAAGGCCTCACTGAACTGTGAATGTTTTCCCCTGAAACACATTTATTCTCATCCAGAATTTTCCCTAGTGCTTTTGTTCTGATTACACAAGCCGGGGGAAACACACTAAAGGATTCAGGTTTAATATGTGTTAACATGACTTTCTCTGCTAATACAGACTAAGTTCTTAATTAAGTCAAAATTAATTATTTAATCTAACTTTTAAGCTTGCTTTCTTCAAAGGATAAACTTCCGTTCTGCCTACCCCAGCAGCCAGATTCCATCCCTGGCTCTGCTGGTGCTACAGGACAGGACTCAGACACTGGGCTGCAGCATTTACTTGGCAGCTTCAGCTCTGCCTCACAATTCTCCCTCCTGGGCGCTCACTTCCAAGCCTGCATTTGTGCAGCTGCATGGCTAGCTGGACGAGGAGCTCATTTCCTCTAGCATTTGTCTCATAAACAGATGTGCCAACACAACACAGGGAATGGGCACGAGGGCAGAAGTGATCAGCCGTGATGGCAGAGGCTCAAACAGAGTCTGCTTAAACCAGCTCAAACCACACTGTCATGAAATAAGGAGCCAACCCTTCACTCCACTCCTTTGTGTTTTAGTTTGTCCATCTGTAAAACTGGCACCACAACTCCTACTCTATTTTATAAAGCACCTCTGAAAAGGGCAATCCCATTAACATTTCAGTGAATTCACATTACAGACCACCCACCCTTTCTGCAAATCAGGTCCAAACTTCTTCCAAGGACACTGGCACAGTCCTCATCAGCATCTGCTCCGTACTTTCGCCTCACAACCTGCTCAGTGGCTGGCCTGGGCCAAGCCCTGCCACCACACCAGGCAAAGACTTGCTCAGAACCAGATTCAGACTCTACAACACAACAGTTTTTTTTAAAGTCCGATTAGCTCTCTCATCCTATTTCTGGGAAAATCCCCAAACCAGTGACACTGGCATAGTTTTGGAGAAGGTGACTATGAGAATAAAAGAGCAGCAGAATAGCAGTTCACTGAAAGCACCCTAAAACCAACATCACAACCTTTCTTGGCTTAAAGCCACAGCCTCACAGCATGTTTTTCTCCTTTCTGACCGATGCCTAGTCTATGTCCTGTGAAGCAGCCACATGAGTATGCTCAGGGAAGAACCAAGCACTTTGTGCAAGCATCCGGAGGTGCCAGGTGGCAAAACTGTTAGCTGAGGGTTCTGGAAGAGAAGAGGGAAGCCCATGGCTCTAGGGACAGCCAATAATTCCTGCGTGTACAGATCCAGCAGAGGGAGCACAAAAACAGAAGGATTTTTTCTTGGCCAAATTTTGGCTATGAAACACTGAATGTCTGAAATCCCAGGCACTTTGTATTACATTATTTCTGTAGTAATGCACGTGTGGTGTGTTACAAATGCGTAATAGACAAAACCCTTGCTCTGAGTAGATTACAGTGTAAAAATCAATACAGCAAAAGAGACAAGCAGCATGGGCAGCATAGGCTGCTGAGGCCAGGAGTAGGAGGGAGAGGCAGCACGGCAGAGCCGCTAGCTCTGCCAATTTGATCATGCCTCCTGCAGTAACAGGACCTTTTCAAACAGATAGCTATCAAAAGTCTCATCTTCACATGAAATCCACAGCTTTCAGGGATCTTCTGTTTTTATTTTGTTGTTATTTGCTTTTTGTTTTAAAGGTGCTATTTCCAGGCTTCCAAAGTGAAATTACTAAAGCTGTAGAGCTGATAATGTGTGCCCCAAAGACTCGAAGAGGGGATGCCACAAACTTCTTTCCAGAACCTGTCTCCTCCTCAGCCCTGTCGCTGGAGAAAGCCAGAGGGCTCCAGGGATGCACTGTATACCTCATTACTTAGCCTGTGTAGGGCTCAACTACCAGCAAGGGGACCACAATTCTAAGGGTGATCAAGAGTAAAACCTTCAGATTCCATACACAAAAAGCTACTTGACCTCTGTGTACCCAAATAAAAATGAAGAGATAGCAAGCAAAACACATGCAGAAATTCTTGGAAAACAAAAATACTGTCAAGACAGGTAATTAAGTGTACGGTGCAATCTTACTATGGAAATGCATGAGGCAGGTGCACTTGGGTTTTTTTTCCTAAAAAAAAAAAAAAAATGGGTATTTTCATAGGTTATTTCCAAGTTCTAGTATTACTCTCATTTAACGGCAGCATGTTCAACTCAGAATTCCTGCAAAACAGCAGTGAACTTTACAGCGCAATTCCAGCTCTCATGCACCCTGAGGCTGAAAGTGGGTCAGAAGTGAACAGCAGTGTGCTGCATTTTCTACAACAGCAAGAATACTCCTGCTGCATGGGAAATATGCAACTTTCATGACAGTGTTTAAATATGACATGCTGTCCTCATCACTTAGCACAGCCCTCGATCAGCTCAGTAGTTTTTATAAACTTGGGCGTTTTTTTTGTAAATTCTGAAGCAACTCAAATTCAACACTGTAATAATATGGCTGATGGTCTTCTGCCCTAAAGTCTGTTCATTTTGTATCGAGAAGCATAAAGTGCTGCTAAAGCATGCAAGGCTAAGTAGGTGTTTGCTTGGAGAAAAAGAGGGCAAGAGAGAGGCTAGGCTCAGAGCATTGCAGAAATGTAAGCACAGAGCACTTTGCCCTGCTAAGGTTGATGTGTTCCTCTACAGGGCAGGGATGGAGTGAGGAAGATCAGAGATGGGACGAAATAACCCTGTGGGGAGGGAATGTTGGGATGTCAGGGATAAGCTGTAGTCCCTCTAACAATTGCCAACTTTGTCTACACCTCTAGGCTTGATCTCCCTAGGAAATCAAACATGGACATCCTGCAGGGCAGGCCACAGGCTTGCTGTGGTTAACTCTGCCCAGGCTGTGACACAGCCAAGTTCGTGCTGTTGCACACATCACCCTCTTCCTGCAGGCAGGCTTTTCCAGCTCACCCTACTAGGTAGAGTGGAGTAGAGTAGAACAGCAATGAAAGCGTCAGTTTTTGCTTGCTTTTTTCCCTATTTTTCACAAGAGTAAAAGCAAAAGGTTCATTCACTCATTCTCCACTTCCCTGATTATCTTTTCCTATTTTTTTTTCTTGCTTACTAGTTTGTTGCTTAAATATCTCTTTTATTTCTGTTAAATGATTCATTTTAAACAGAAATCAATGTCAAAGTTGCACTAGGCATTATTTGAAAAATAAAGGACTACTCGAGCGCTTCTCTTCTCAGATGTAGGCAGCCACAAGCTTTTATTTCCTCGCTTAGAGGCACAGGGAGTTTCAGAGCTGTGTCACTCTCCACACATAAGACCTAATGGCAGCACTAAACAATATCATGACCTTCAGTTTACAACAGCAAAAGAAAAAAACCCTTTGCCTTTCCCAGCTTACTCCACCACCATCCCGTTGTTGCAAGAATAGCTTTCCCAAGCCGGTTCCCTTTCCCACGCTGCAGGTGAGCTCAGAACAGCCCCGATACACCTGAGGTCAATAGCTCAGCACCATAGCAGATCCCCACACCCCCTGCTGCCAAGGAGCACGGAGGAAGACATGCTGTGCCTGCTGCTGCCTGCCCAGCTGGGCTGCTCCTATGGCAAAGTACACGAAATCCAGGCCAGGTGCCCAGCACTATCTTGGCTTTACAAGCACCCATCCCAATAGCAGTGCCAACCCAGCCTGCAGCAGGCCGTGGCACATGGGCTGCCTGTGCTGCTAAGGGAGAGCTGAGCTGCCGGCTCACAGGCGGAAGACAATGAGCACTATTAACCTTGGCTTACGCTGAGCCATTGTTCTAGAGGTTGGACATCTCTTGTAAAATCCCATTATTAGAGGCCATTGCCACTAATTTCCATAGTTTATTTTGCTCTACTTTAGAAAAAAATGCCCTTCCCTTTCCCTTAGACCCTATTGTACTTACACAGC